CTTTCCCCATTGAGTTTTGGATCATTTGCAGTTTGTATTCTTTGAGATTTGCAATATTCCATGGTATGTAGCCATATACCATCACTGAAAGAATGTATTTTTTTTTTAAAAATGGGGTTTTTGTCATGTTCTGTTATTTTGGATTGTTGTATAGAGGATATTGTTAAAAGGATATGCAATTTTTTTTTCAAAAAAGCTTTATCAATGTCTTCTATTTTTTTATACTAGAGCCATATTTCAATAAGCTTTTCTCCATATAATCCTGCCTTGTAACAACAAAAAACAGTTAAGCAAAATTGGCCCACATAGGACTTGCCTCTGACAGCATAAGCTATATTTTGCATCTATAGTTCCCACCTTCCTAATTAGAGGAGCAAAATATGTTTCATCTTCAGTTCTCTAGGATGAAGGTACATAATTCATTACCTTTCTGTAGTAATTATGTATAGTGTTTTCTTGATTCTCCTTTGTTAATTATATATCAACTCATGCAAATCTTCCCATGTAGCACCAAATCCTTATATTCATCATTTCCAAGGGAACAGTAATATTCCATTACATTCATTTACCCTACTTTGTTCAACCATTCCACAACCCACTTTGCCTCCAGTTTATTTGTTGGTTTGTTCATTTTTGCTATCACAAAAATGTTATGAATATTTTAGTATCAGTGGGACCTTTCTGTCTTTGACCTCCTTGGTTTATATGCTCAGAAGTGGGTTTTCTAGGTCAAAGGGATTAAAGAGTTTAGTGACTTTTCTTGGATAATTCCGTTTTTTTTCCCAGAAATGCTGGACCAATTTACAACTCAACTGATAGGGTCAGGTGGTGTCATTTCCCAAATACAATCCAGTCTATCTCTTCACCTTCCTCAATCCTGGTCCCCAGCTCATTAAACAGCTGAAGTATCTATCCAACATCTATGTAGTGATGGGATGACTCAATGCTCTGCCCGTCTACATGTATTTCTTTATAGACATTCTTTATCTTTTTTTTATTTTTCCTATTTGAATTGGATTGTTAGTTCAAGCTTGTAGATCTTATTTCGAGATCTCTGCAGTATTATGGTGTTTAATGCAATTACCACAAAATAAACTCCATCTGTAAATAAGAACATCTACCAGAAATCTCTTGTCCATTCACACTCTGCACAGGTTATCTTAATAATAATACCTAACATTTAAATAATGTTTACTATATGCCAGTCTTAATTGCTTTACAAATATTATCTCATTTGATCCTCACAACAACTCTGGGAGGTAGGTGCTATTATCCCCATTTTATAAATGAGAAAATAGAGGTAAACAAAGATTAAGTGACTTACCCACTATCACACAGCTGTTAAATGTCTGAGGCCAGATTTGAATTCAGGTCTTCCTGACTCCAGGACCCATGCTCTATCCACTGCATTATCTACCTTCCATAGCATTATAAGCACACATTTCTCTAAGTTTATGTTTCACATGATATTAATAATCAGACTATTTGTTGAACAACTATTTCTGTAATTATGTGATTCAAGGAAATTTGATGATCTTAACATATGCACAAGAGACATTTTGTTGGAGGGCAGACTCAGTATTGTTATACAGTCAAATGCCTTCAAAAAAAACTAACAAACAGTAA